TTAAAATTTCTTTCGTATACGTATACTTATTAATATCTGACGTACTCGTTATCGTTACGTAAAGCAATGTATGGCTAGTAATCAACTGATCGTAGGTTCGGTTCCCACCAAGTCAGTCACTAAGTTTTCAATTTATATATTATTTTGGACATGTCTTCGTCGCGAAATCTAGATATAAAAACCAACAAAATTAAAAACTTTAAACGGAATAAAACGAGAGAAATGTATTCGAAAACTATAATATTTTTCACATGATGGAACTACAATAATTTAAAAATCGAAAATAAATTTTAAAAATTTCGACTCGGGCAAGACTTGATATGCTGTTGCAGCAACAGCACGGTACGCTGACGATGCCGGATATAGAACAAAATATAGATTTTTAAATTTAACACTGCCCGACAACCTAATGGGCAATAAGTTACATGGCTACTTAACGGTGTTTATTGTAATGTATTTTGTAATAATTTCAGTCCTGAATTCGTTTACAAGGATACAGACAAAAAAAAATAATCGGTAAGCTACGACTATTGCTTCCTTCTACTACAAGTATAGCCACACGATTTTCTTTACTAAAATTCATTATTGTTAAATACAGTCTGTAGTTCACGCGAGTAGTACACATTTAAATGAAGCATTTAAACGGTTTAAAACGCGATATATATTACTTAAACTAATTTATATCGTGTATATAAGTTTAACTAATATATATCGCGTTTTAAAACGGTTTTTTATTTAAACTCATTATTGTTAGGAAATATTCAAGCCTGTGTCTAAATAAAAGCAATTCTATCCCGCTGCGTTTAATCTCGGGATATAGCGTATGTTTATGTTAGGCGTCATATTGAGTTCACATAATGTGTAGCCCTTCATAATATCGGACAAAAGACTTCATAAAGTTTGATGAGGAACTAAGCTTCCAGTTTATCATCGATTTATGTTCTATACGATTCTATGGGCGCTTACCGTGTTGACATTATCTTGGATATATCATTTACTAGCGTTTACCCACGACGTTGTTCGTCGTTCATGCAAGTTGATCTTAAAAGTTATACACTGTCGCGGATATATTTTAGATCATTTAAAAAGAAATCATTGTTTTATTAATATTTTTGGGTATCTTAACCTGTATTTGCTGCGCACGCAACCCCTCAAAGAATAATTTCCTGTCCCACTGTTGGACACACTGTCGTCTTGCATGGGAGCGGTTTTTAGAGTTTAGACTTACCATGCTACTTTTTAGGGTTTAACGTACTTGTGGCGAGAAGAGAAAATAAGTCTCGTTAAAAATATATTTTTTACAGTTAATAATTTTGGATTCCATGTTTCGGATGCTTTATTGTAATTTTCACGAGTGGCACAATTTCATGTTTCGTTCATTTTAGCGTTTTATTTTCAATTAAAAGCGATAAATAAGACTACATTATAAGAATTTGAGACATATAGACAAAAATAAAATAAATTTCTACTTGTGAAAAAAAGGCGACACAACAGTCAAAGGAAGAAGTTAACTTCCCACAAAGTAAATTTACGTTTGATTTTGTTAAATAGGAATAATTATTTAAATAAAACACTTTAACGGTTTAAAACGCGATATATTAGTTAAACTTATTTGAAAATGATTTTTAACTTCGGCCCGACGTTTCGGATGCTTTGCAGCCGTGGTCACAGAGAGACTCGGAGAAACGTTCAAATAAGTTTAACTAATATATCGCGTTTTAAACCGTTTAAGTGTTTTATTTAAACTTATGTTAATATAATTTACTTAAATTCTATACTTATTCGAAGATAGTGATTAAGTTAATTTAAACTATGACTTTTTTCTTTTTGTATGCCACTTTTGAATTAATCAAAATGTTATTTTGGCCAACTATGATGCAATACGATTTATTTTTCAGGTAAATCTTTCCCTAGCAATTACGCACAGGAAATTCCCGAACCACGTCATAGTGTATAAATAGTTAGGACTGTTTACTTCCTTTAGTCCACCTTCTTATACCTCCACAATTGCGTTATTATTATTGTTATAGAGACTGGTACACGAATAAGCAAAAACTTAAAATCGTTGGTCTAATAGTAGCCAATAATGGGCTAGTCCCCACCGGCTCCTACATAATTCTAATTTATAATTTTTCTGAAACATGGAAAACTCCATATTGAATGATATCCGGCCGGGTCACGAAACAACGTCACGGATAGAATAGTCGTCTACTTCTGGATTACTGAATATCATGCAGTCATAATAGGTCGACAATGCACATCGTCACCTTCCCTCAATTACTTTTTTGACTGTCCACGCTCTACACATTTTCATTATAGGCAGTGATAGTCCGCGATTAGTTATAAAAAATATATTCAGCTTAAACTATATTCAACTTAAATGTACTTAAATACTGTCTGTAGTTTACGCGAGTGGTAAGTACACATTTAAATAAAACACTTTAACGGTTTAAAACGCGATATATATTAAAAAGAAAATTCCAAAATAAGTTTAACGAATATTTATCGCGTTTTAAACCGTTGAAGTGTTTCATTTAGAGTAGTTATGACCGCATTTAGTAATATCAGAACACTGTGCGAGAAGCCTTTGCAAATTGAATTTCAACAGCGGCACAGAATTCGCATATTAGCAATGAAGGGAATCGAAGAGAAATTAAAATTAAATCGCTAATGCAACGGTGTACGGGATTGCGTTGTCACTGCATAAAGGCGTTGAAGAGAGCTTGAAAACGATTCAACTGACATTTATTCTCGATTCTTTCTGCTGGAATATGAATGATAGGGTGAGATTCTGACAAGCGTCAGAACTTTGACAAGAAAATATTATATACTGTCTTTAATTTGCGCGAGTAGACATTTAAATAAAACACGTTAACGGTTTAAAACGCGATATATATTAGTTAAACTTATTTGAAATTTATTTTAACTAACTACGGCCTAATGTTTCGTACTCGTTATGTATTAGTATTTAATATGTTTACGGTGGTCACGAGGAGTCCCTGACTGGCGCAAAGCACCCAAAACGTCGGGCCGTAACTAAAATAATTTTTAAATAAGTGTAACTAATATAAATCGCGTTTAAAACCGTTAAAGTTTTTTATTTAAAGGAATTTATATAACGTAGAAACACTATTTTGTTCCTAGCTTAAGTGTTGTTTAATAATGATGTAAATTTTACAAACAATTTTTGATGTAACATTGTCTTCTATTTTTATAACATAAGTACTTTGAGAGACATTTGACGATTTGTGTGACATAGGTTTATTAAATCCAGGTAGGGTAGTTAGTTATGCTTCGAAATTTTAAAATATTTTTTCTCAATTCATCCATTTAACTAGACGGTTTCTTTGTTAGATGGAGTTTTTTTAAATCTATACTCGACGACGACTATAAATTTGTAGAGTTTGTTTATTTAAAAGCGCTAATCTCGAGAACTACTTTCCGTTCAAAAACGGTTAAAAAAACAATTTTTTTTTATGGTAAGCAAACTTGGTCCATTGTAATGCACTATTACCAATTATTCGTTAGGGTTGCATCGACATATTAATCTTGCAAACAACAAAACAATCTCTGCTCGTACCGTTGGAATAAAGTGAAGTAACATTTTTGAAGAAAGTCGAACCAATTCTAAAAAACAAATAAAGGAAACTCCAATATACACAAATCCAAGCATAAAAACATCCGACGCCCGTCCATAAGCTGACATATAAAAATTGATAGTAACGCTGAAAACAGACTGTAATAATATATTGAATGTCAGCACGAGCCCTTCGACTTAAATGTTTCGATCGGAAAATGGGATTTATTTGAAGGCGCAATAAAAAGCATTTTCCCCTGCACGAGAAATGTAAATGACCGAGAGCAGTCTCGCAATGGTGACAATATAAAAGTACTGTGTCTCCTATTTTGCTTTGGTTTTTCGTATTGGCTGTTCTTATTCAACTTCGCAAACAAAGAGTAATTGAAAAATTAAAAAGCTTTACATATAAAGCTGCTAACTAACTATATTTACTTTGTTCCCTCGGTATACACTATGCTGATAGAGTGAACTTTGACTGTGAACAAACAATTTATAACACAATTTAAAAATCGAAAATAAATTGAAAAAATGTTCGACTCGGGCAAGACATGAACCGGCATCATCAGCGTTCCGTGCTGTCCTACCGAGTCGATTTTTAAATTATGTAGTGCCATTGTGTGCAATAACATGTGAATATTAATACAATTTATAACACAGCTAGAAACAAACTCCCTCCGTAGCTATATGATTAAAAGTGTTGGGTTAGCAAGAGGTTCCTGGGTTCGAATCTCCGAACTCCGATTGTTTCAGTCGGAAAGGCCAAGAAGGCTAATTAACTACTTGCCTGTAACAAAACCGATCAATGAAACGGACACAGAAATGTGTACGTTCCATGGCCCACATAGGCACACGCTATGGTCGTGACTTACAGTCTCGTGCGTGGCATCGCTTCTTTTTATAATAATGATAATAATTTTTATCTCTTCATAGATGGCGTATAAAGAATCTATTCGAGAAAAAGAAAAGTAGTTCTATGACAAGCACGGGACTCAAACTTACTATTTATTAAATGTCTCTGTGACATTATTTACATAACGTTGTTAGAATCTCTTCTAGAAGTATAAAAGCAGTATGTCAAGAACAAAATGACACGCACAGGACTCGAACCGTTTCTACCAACTCAACTACATTATCTTAGTGACAGCAACACTACAGAACGCTGCGGTCGTGACTACGAGTCCCATCCTAGTCATCGGTGTTATTTTGTTAAATGATTTTTAATTAGCATGTAATAATCAAGTTCAATTTTTGAAAAAGCTGTTTCAAATATTATAGGACCGCAAATCGGGTCTAATTGTACGGTCGCAACATCTTACGTTCCACGTCAAACTACTATACTATCGGCGCATGACCTCACTGTATTAATCATGAACACAGTAATTATCAATTTGAAGCGTGTTTAGTTCAGACGTTTCCTACAATGCATATTAAATGTGGTGTAATTCTCCTCATAATTACAATAGCGCACAGTGCCAAAAGAATTGACTACGATGATTTGGACGAGAACGAGATAAATTATGTGCAAACGTCCCTTGTTTTCCCAGACGACATAGAAGATGTGCGCAAATACTATTTACTAGCGCAGTTCTTTGACCGAAAACTAATTGATATACCTGTGACGTGCAATAGGGAGCGACCGTTCAAATTGCACATGGAAAAGGAGCAAAGGTGTGTGTGTTTGAATTTGGAAGAATTTATAAAAGTGAGACATAAAAAGCGATGTTGAGTACTGAAAAACTTTTAAAAGCTGTGACAACTCATTTTTATTAGTCTAAGAATTAAAAATAGTTGACAGACGGGATAGAAGAAGTGAAAGCTTGTTAAACAAAGGTACGAAAAATCTTCTAAACACTATGAATGTACAAATTCTTAAATGGATCATTTGCAATAAAGTATTTACTTTTTAAATTGTTTTTTTATTAACCATTCAAGAAAGCTATTGGGAAGTGTGATAATTAGTTTATAAAGTCCGGCCTAAAGCAGTACAGTGCAGTAGCAGGACTAGATATGAACAATGTAAGGCTATTAATATGGACGTCAATGATAAGGGAATAAAGTAATTAATTATAGTAAAGGATGTTATAGTGAATGAAGACAAAGTAATATATAAAGTATATATACAATATCAAATCAAATCATTGCCAGTTCAAGTCCTTGGCACAATTTTTTCAAATTTTTAATGGATTTTTTAATAATATAAAAATATAATGCGAAACACCATATAAAAAAATCTTCAAGTTTTTAATAAGTACCTACTTAACTAATATAAAAAACAACACTAAGTCTTATAAAAGGTATTTTTCTTCAAGCAATTCTTGTTAGTCTTTCTATGCCATAAAGGTGTGAAAACTTAATTATTTTTTTACATGACGATGCCGGTCAAGTCCTGCCCGAGTCGAGAATTTTTTCAATTTATTTTAGATTTTTAAATCATAAAGATATTCTATAGACAATACTGTTCGGCTAAAACTAAAAATCTGTTTGCTTAAGAATCGAAGCAAGAATCACTCGGAATAGATAGTTTTTTTAACAAATATTTTCATAATATAATTTGTTCATTAAAATAATATTAATTGAATAATTATATTCATACAAATATTGTCTATAATTTACGCGAGTAGTACACATTTAAATAAACGGGGAGACCCCGTGACCACGGCTGCTGCAAAGCATCCGAAACGTCGGGCCGAAGTTAAAAATCATTTACAAATAAGTTTAACTAATATATCGCGTTTTAAACCGTTAAAGTGTTTTATATTCATACAAATTTTAATCGGTGCCAAGTAAATGTTTAAAAATCTTACTTCAATATTGAGTACACCATTTATTTTTTGTTTCATATTTGAAAATAAATAAAGTTAAAATACAAGATAGCTATTGAAAATCACTGACATCCCATATAAGTGTAAAATTCTTAAGTCGGTTAGAATATTTAAAATAAAACACTTGTTGGAATGGTTTATAATGCGTTTTTTGTTAAATTTATTTAACTTGTCGGGCCGTAGTGAAAATATTTTTCAAATAATTAATATATATCGCGTTTAAACCGTTAAAGTGCTTTATTTAAATGTGTTCTTCGCGCTTAAATTACAGACAGTATTTTAGGATATTTCGTAATCTTCTAGACTTAAGTATTTTTCAAAAGAATTAGTTGATTTAGGTGTAAGCAGTATAATACATCTTAAATAAGCTGTAAGAGGCTAAATTCTCTTCTGTTCTCTCTGAACTCTGCTCAAACAAGTTTACTACGCAGCTATCAAGTAACAAGAATGAAAATTAAACTCGCCGCATAGTAATGGAGTAGCAATTTCGGAAATAAATTGTGTTGCCGCCGTTTTAGTGCGCTGAATCTAGTTTTGTAGCTTCATGTGAATTGAGTTTTAGCTTTTTCTACATAAACACCTCAAAATATTTGCAGTAACGCATTCACGCTATTCTTTTCAAATTCAAAACTTTTAATTGAATATTTATCTATACTAATAGTATAAAGCTGAAGAGTTTGTTTGAACGCGCTAATCTCCGGAACTACTGGTTCGATATGAAAAAATATTTTTGTGTTGGTTAGAGCATTCATCGAGGTAGGCTTAAGCTATAAAAAATCAGGCTGCGACCAATAGGAGCGAAGAAACAGTGGGAAATGTGAAAACAAACTGGGAAAATTATTGTTCTTTCAGTTGCGTGCGCTGCGAAAACGGTTCAAGATAAAAAAAGGTAGGAAATAATGATTTCTCTTTAGTTATATAACAAAATGTCCGCGACAGTACATGTCTACGGGACGCAGACGACGTCGTGCGTAACAGCTACAACTTATAAACATGTGTAGCTTATCAAAAACAAACGAAGTCGCGAGCACAGTTATAGGTATAAGTTAGTGAACGACTCCTTACAATAAACAAGACATTTTTTCCTTCCAGTCAGCCATTTTTAAAGGATTTAATTTTACCTTTTTCATAAGCGATAACGTTTTTATGCTAATTACTTGTCTACAATTTAAAGGGTGAAAAATTTATCTCCCAACTCCCCTGTTAACTGAGACGCGAAAATTTTATTAGAGTAACTTTTCCGGGCGATTGTTTAATTCGGTAATATACAGTGCTTTCGAGTTTTATGTTCTACGTGAAAAGTTAATATTGTTATTAAAATGAAATACTTTTAACTGTTTAAAACGTGATATATAAGAGTTAACTTATTTTCAATTTATTATAACGCCCTGACGTATCGGATCCATATATATTTTAAACCTACTGACTGAAATCGACTCACAATAAGGCTTTTTCATCTGTGGGCAGCGGTTCGTGACCTGGACGGAATTTCTATATTCCTACCACTAAAATTAAATTATTTATTTATTTTATTTTACGTTCGTGTCCTTAATTACTTGCGTATAAATACTTACTGATGATTTTTACCTATTTTGAAAATTCATGCTTTTATAAAATAACTTCGAAAAATACTGTTATAATAACAATATATAATAATAAAAATGGCTTCTGATACAGTAGTTATATTCTACATCTAGATTATAAGTAAACAAGATTCTCCAACATTTTAATCCAAGATTACTTCTATTAAGATAATAAAAAGTTTAGATGTCTAATACCAAGAGAGAGGGTTTTACGAAAATTTAACGCGATACTTCAAACGATAAATTGTACCTTTCTTTTGTAATTTAATCACTAACTTAGCGATGTAATGAATGCAAACTCACCGATAAGGTTGGAACAACAGAATTACATAATACACAAATTTCAGAGCTTTTATAATAAAAGAAATGTTTTCAGCTGAATCTTTGTTATCCTTAGAATGAGGTGTAAATTTTATTGTGTAAAGGCTATTCCACAAGGGATATTAAATTGTGTGACGCTAATTGGAATATTTCACCACAACTGAGGTCGAAAGTTATTTGGTCTACCCACTACAGTTCGTTATATCGGGGGATATATGTCATGATACATGTCTAATGGTAGCAATGGATTATAATCAACGGGTAGCGGGTTCGATCGCCAACGAGTCAATGTTTTTAATAAATTTATATTTTTTCGACACACGACTTCGTCTGGAAATCTGGATATTAAATGGGTAGTAGAAATATTGATACTTCCGGTCGACGCCACGAATCACCGTCCATAGTAAAAATAAGTATATCGAGAGCCAAAAATAGGTATTTTACCTCCTATCTTCTTCTTCTATCTTTCTTCTTCTTCTTTTACCCTCTGCTTATATGTCGTCGTATAAAAACCTTATAAATGTCCACGAGAGAAAGAAAATATCCTAAGGTTTAATGTAAAATTAAACGGAACTTCGATGTCATGTGTTATTGACCTACATACTCTTACATAGCATAGGAGCTTCGTGTCCCAGTTGTGGAAACCGTTATACCATATACGACAATGACTAAAAATATAAATAGAACATTTAAAAAATCTATTTTCTTACGCCCCGAGGTAGCCCTTACTCTTCTTTTAAGTACGTAAGGTAAGCATCTTCTCCTCAAGTCCCCACCCAAATTGATGAGGGCCAAGCCCCCCTGTAAAGCACTTGGCTTAGCCGCAAATACGATCAAGTTAGTACTATAAATCCCGGACCGAGATACGTCACTTTTTTACGTTAAGAATCCTTGACAAACACATCACAGAAGTTACTTAATCGTAACAGAATATTATCGTTTTGAACTTATTTCGTCACCTTTAAAACATATAAATGTATAGGTTTCCAATCTATCTACTATAATATATAAGAGTTTGTTTGTTTGAACGCGCTAATCTCAGGAACTACTGGTTCGAATTGAAAATTTATTTTTGTGTTGGCTAGAACATTTATCGAGAAAGGCTATATATATTAAACATCGCGCTATGACTAATACAAACATGCAAAACAAAGAAACAGTGGGTAATGTGGAAAACGGAAAAAAATATTCATCTTTGTGAGATCCCGTTGCGTGCGCTACCAAAACGATTCAAGAAAATCATATAAATGAAAGAATTATGAACTAATCTGTGAATGATCTAAAAAAATGTCTGTGACAGTAAATTTTAATGTTTTAAGATAAAGTCACAAGAGTGACGGGTCGCGAACGACGTTATCGGTAACAGCTAGAGTTAATAAAGGTGAGCAAGTATGGACGAAAAAATTAATGCCCAAAATAAATATACCACTCGAACGAAGTAAGCGGGCACAGCTAGTAAGTTTATAATTGGATCATTTTAACAATTAGTAATAACTGTACGCATATAACCTTATACGATGACCTTTCTCATGTCAAGCCGGACAAGGCGACAAGTTTCCCACTTTGTTTTTATCCTCAAAGCCCAGATTCGGCCTAAAATAATGATTATTTGTTACGGATGTATGTATCCTGTAAATATATTTAATCGATAAATGTAATTAATTTTAAATACCAAATTCTGTCTTTAGTTTACTGTCTTAGTATTATGACGGTTTAAAACGCGAAATATAGAGAAAAAGTAGATCAAGGTATACACGTATATTTATTACATAATATAGCATATCATTGTTGTTCGGGCGGTTCAGCCGACGTGAGTGAGAAGAGGATCTCGACGTTTCAAGACATGTTAGAATGCTCGAAGGCTTGTGCCGTCCTGATGATGCCATCCGCTCGCGATGGTGAAACGTCGAGAACCTTATCTCGCTCACGTGAGCCGAACAGCCCGAAAGCAATGATATGCCGAACGATGGCCGTGAAAGCCTTACACAATTCAAACATAA